ACTTAGAGAGACCAATTAACCTGACAGTCTTGTTTTTGGACAGTGGGAGGAAGAACCCACCAAGCACAGGGAGAACATGCAGACTCTGTGCAGAAGGACCCGGGCCGGGAATCAAACCCAAAACCTTCTTGCTGCAAGGCGACAGAGCTACCAACTGCACCACTGTGCAGCCATCAATGTCCTAACCCACATTCAACAGATTAAAAGCAGCTTTTAGCTTCATGTGAATTTGGTTGATATCTTAGAATGTAAAACTTTCTGGTAAAATAAATAAAGTTTCTGTTTTCTGACATTTTGTTGGTTCATGTTTTCAGCAGCAGATAAAATCTGACATGAAGTTCTGTGTGTTTCTGACCGATCTGTGGGATCCGTCTGATGGAGCTGATAAAAACTTTCACTACATTTTCTGTTTCTTTGCTCAGAGTTTATTTCTATCTGTTGTTTTTATCAGTTTATAATGTTTTATTCACACGGTAAAGAAAATGTTGTTGAAAAGTTTTTCCCTCATGTATTTGTTACATTTTGTTTTAGTTTCATCCAAGAAGTTTGATGTTAAGTTACAAACCAAATCTTGCTGCATTTTGCAGGATTTCATGTTTTTACAGGATGAATTTCATTTAAACTGGATCTCAGTAAAAACACAAACATTTAACTTGATCAGCAACACATAAAATAAAAATGTGAACATTTAAAAAGTCTTTAATGTGATGCTGTCATGTTGCAGACAGAGAGTCTGCTGTGTTTCCAGAGAGCTGCAGGTTTCTCTCACTTCCTGTTTCAGCTGGAAACTCTGAGCTTCTCTCTGGGAGAAAATATTTATGTAACAAAAGAAAGAATGGAAAAATCTGAAGAGAAAAACATTTTATTGATTAATTTCTGAGAAACTGGAAGAATATAAAGAACATGTTTAGAAACATACTTTAGCTGGATGGATGATGTTTGTGGTTATAATCTCACCTTGATAACAGAACGGAGGGAGAAGCTGCATGTCGGCCTTCATGTTCTGTGATTTACTAAATGCAACAACCTCCTCAGTTTAAACCTGCCTCTGTTTTAGTTTTGTATTATTTTAATCATTAAAAATACCCATTATTTTTAGTTAATCTCCCCATTGATCAGTGAGGAGCTTCATACTGAAGTCCAGCTGCACAGAGTCACAGTAATATAACAAAACAATGATCGCTTTTATTTCATCTTTCCATTCACAAACTAAGAGTTAATTTGGGAATTAACTATTAATTTGAGATAAATTTGTTATCCAATAAGTGTTTTGAAATTTAATTATGTTGTTTTGTTACTTCTGTAAAAAACAATAACAAAAAATGGCAAAAGTTGTTTAGCAAGACCATAAACGTAAATGATAGATGGAAATTTGACACCATCTCCAGTAGAAGCGGCTGCTGAGGTCACGACCTCTTCCTGAAACCGTTGAGCCCAGAGGAGCCGCTAGAGACCAGATCTCTGCACTGACAAACAAACAAACAGTTTCTGCTGGAGGCCAGGAGTTAAAGTTTGATCTGATCTGACCTCTGACCCTTCCTGTTGCTGCAATCAGGAGATGTTTCCTTATAGCTGCATTTAGAGTTTCACACACCTTGGATTTTGTTCTTTTAAATTTCTACAATAAAAATCTGATGTATTGAACGAATCCACTGGATGATTCGCCTGCTGACATGCAGCTGCAGCGCTGCATTTATCATCTGTATTCGTCGCATTAAAGTGTCTTTCCTGCTAAAACGTGTTTGGATTCAGAACAACAGCAGAAGCTGGAGCCGTTCCTGGACCAGTTGAGACAAGAACCATTTAAATCACGGTGAAAATCTACTTCCATCTCGCTTTAACGTCCTGGACGAGTTACAGGACATGACATCACAGCAGGAGGGGTCAACACCTGCTTATTTTGATCATTTTGATCATTTTGATTGTTGCAGTAATAATCTTACAGATGAAATATTGTAAAAACGGTAAAATGACAAATTGATTTCTGTATTTCAATAATCTTACTTTGATTATTGATTATTTTCCATCTCCACAGCAGGAGGAGCTCAAGCTGATCAGTTTAAGATTTTACACATTTATGACCAAATGATCTCATCCTAAAATGTTTTAATACAATGATAATCTGTACAGTTATAAACATGTTTATGAATATATTCCTCTCAACTAATATGAAGAAACATCAGCTCCAAAATAAGAAAAGCTGATATTGATCAGATTTTTATGTTTTAATGAACTTCAGACTCCTGAAAGGATGAAGACTCTGCAGTCCTGCATTTTAATAAGAAACATTTTAAAACCATTTTAAAACAGCTGATCAGTCTAAATGTCTGCAAACATCTGAATCAAAAGCCTAAAAGTTTTCAAACTGAAAATGTTGAAATGTTTCATTTGTTTTGTTTTCCTGCAGGTGAAATCTGATCTGTTTCTGATTTTCTCATCATTTGATTTGTGTTTTCTGTTCTGAATAAAGAACAAAAGATCTTTTGTTGACCTGAAGGTCAAACATGTAGCTTCAAGGACAAATGTTAAAATATAAAAATGACCCTTCTTTTAAATACAGAGTGACTTTTTATTTTTTTACAAAGTAAAGCCAGACTTCCTGCTGGGACTTGATCCTGTGGTTTTAATCCATTCATGTCTCAACATGCAGGAGGAGCAGAAGTTTCAGGAAGAGACTTTCCTCGTCTCTAACATGAAATGGAGCAGGAACATTCTGCAGAGAAAATCTTGGTGATTCTTGTGATCACAAACTTTCTTTGCTCGACTTTCTCCTCACCAGGTGAGTGTTTTCAGTTCTTCTTCCAGGTTTAGATGAGTTTGATCCTCAGTGAAGGATTAAAGTGTTTCGGTGGCTGATATCTTCCTGCACGGCGCCATCTGGCTGCAGCTGCACAGAGAAAGTATCTGGAGCTTCCCTACATGTGGCAACACATTTTATTTAAATGTTTGTTCATGCAGATTTATTCTATTTATTTGGAGTTATTTTAGCTGCTTTTAGAGACTTAAGAGGGAAACTAAACCCACATTTAGCACCAACAGCAGATTTTATCCATGATCTGATTCATTTCAGTCAAAATGAATAAATCATGATTTACTTCTTTACTGTATTTTGCAGATTCTGAAGTTTCCTGTCTCTTCATGCAGAGCTGCATCCTCCCTTGTAGTTTAACAAATGGACATGATTTAGTCCTTCACTGGTCTTATATTGAAGGACAGCTTCATGTTCACTCTTTCTACCATAACCAAGACCAGCTGGGCCATCAGAACCAGCGCTTTAGAAACAGAACCTTCCTATTCAAAGACCAGATTCCCAGAAATAACCTCTCACTTCTGCTGACGGGAGTGAAGCTTCAGGATGAAGGCAGATATAAATGTTTCAAGAGCTCCACCAGCGGATCCAAGGAAACATTTATCAACCTCAAAGTTGATGGTGAGTCAAATATTAATGCATCTGTTTCTGTTTCTAATGAATTTAAATATACGGTCAATTAAATAGTATTTGTCACCAGTCAATCTTTCATAGATATAAAAGATGTTCAGCTGGTGCATCATTCAGTATGAAATCCCCCAAAAGAGAAAAATCACTCACTGAATTTTTCCTTCTTAGGTTTATTTATTCTTCTTTAGTTAAACATCTTGTCCACATATTTTAACTTTGTTCCATTAAATCATTTTCGGGGTTTTTGGAGGTTAAAGTGTGATTGAACTGGAAACATTTCAAAACTAATTTCAACATTTCACTCCCAATGACTGCAAATATTTATTTTATTTAACTTTAAATATGTTTGTACATAAATGTACAGTTGAATAGAGTCTAATATGTAAGGATGAAGCCAATAATTGCAACATTATGACTCCCTTAATATGCAGTGATGAAGGAAACTGATCAAAATAAATGTCACCATCTTATTTTCAGTGGATTAAAGTGAAACCATTAAATCCCAACAGCTGAGTTTACTGCAGCTCAGTGAAGATAAATAATCCCTTAATGTAAAATCTAATGAAGACAAACTGACTGATGAGGCCATTAGTGTTTTAATGTTTACATGTATAACCTGAATGTTTGCAGCACTTTAAGTCATGATGTTGTGTTTTCTGCAGTTTAATGTTTCTGATCTAATCTGTTGTTGCTACATGACTTGAATAAAATGTTTATCTTCTGTTTTTGCTGCTGCCTTTAACCTCATTTATTCATCTGATGAATCCTCCTGACATGTAAATATCTGTAGCAAAATATTCCCCAATGTAACAAGTTTTATCACTTCATTCTAAACAGAAACACAAATCATCCTCATGTATTTTGGTGATCAATGTTACGCTGTTGAAAAAATAAAGGAGGCATTTAAAATTAATGTTTCTTTATTTAAAAAACAAAGTATTTATACAATAACAAATGATTATGTAGAAATCTTTCAACAGAAATGAACATCATGGCATTAATAAAGATCTGAGAAAGTTTAGCTGGAAGGATATAAATGATATGTTTAGCTGCGCCCCCTGCTGGGCAGATGTTACACACACAGTAAAATCTTAGGAAAAAATCTGAAATATATGCAAATGTGACAAATAATTAAAAGACATCAACATAAATGAACAAATATGAGAAACAACAAAAGAACATGAAGAAATAATCATTTTGCTAAACTACATCAAAGCTCACAAATCATCTATTTATGTAATAAAATTCATTTTCTATAGAAATAAACATTTTATTGGTTAATTTCTGAGAAACTGGCAGAATATAAAGAACATGTTTAGCTGCGCCCCTGCTGGGCAGAAGATGCAACTATAAAATCATCATATTTTGAAAAAAAATCAAATATTAACAAATATGAGAAACAACAAAAGAACATGAAGAAATAATAATTTTGTTAAACTACATCAAAGCTCATAAATCATCTGTTTATGAAAAAAAAAATCATTTTCTACAGAAATAAACATTTTATTGATGCACTTCTGAGAAACTGGTAGAATATAAAAACCATGTTTAGCTGCGCCCCCTGCTGGGCAGAAGATGAAATCATCCTAAAAATAAAAACAGAAATATCTCCAAATATGAGAATCATCTCAAGAACATGAAGCTGATCATTTAGTGAAACCATCACAGCTCATCAATCATCTTGAGGGTAAAATGGGAGAATGGCATTAAAACAAAACCACTCTCTGAATGTGAATGAAAGCTTTAAAGCTGCAGAGCTTCACTTTCCTCCATTTTCTTCTTGTAGAACATTATGAATCCAGCTGCTGCTGCTGCAATCACAACACAAACCACCGTCCGTCTGATGAGTTCAGGAACCACCAGATTCTCTGGAACCAAAGAAGTTCAGGAGTTTAGCTTAAAGACTCATTTATAGTTTACAATGTCAGATTGTGAGCATCTAATGAAGCTGAAATCCTGAATCCTGTTACCTCCAGTCCTCCTCAGATAGAGCTGAGTTATCATCGTCTCCTCATCATCACTGAGCTCACAGCTGTAAACTCCCTCCTGATCTGAGGTCACATTCTGTAAGGTGAGGCTGCCGGACGCTGAAACATCCCTCACATGTTTCCTCCACTCCTCTGAGATGTTGTAGATGTTTCTGTCAGTCTTGGTCAGGATGATCTGACGCTGGTTGAACCTCCAGACCAAACTGGACACAGAAATGTTGAAGGAAGTGCAGCTGATTGGAACCTCAGCACCTGAGAAAGCAAAGTTTATGAGTTCAGTTTCAGCAACAAGCAGTTCAAACTGCTTCACATTATGAAACAGTAACCAGTGATGAAATAAGCAATAACATTTAGTCAGAAGGCATCACAATCATCAATGATAGTGAAATATACTGATCAATGTTCCAGTTATTGCTTTAAATATTAATGAACAATCTGATGTGTAACGACTGAAGATGTTTCTCATTGTGTTTCTTTTGGGTCTTTATGATGTGAAGCACTTTGAAAAGCCTTGTTGCTGAAGCTGCTATACAAATAAACTTTGACTGGTTGATTTAAAGGAACTCCGTGTTTTTGGCTCTTTTACACTTTTCTGGAAGTTTCTTCCAGATTTGTGGAGCATAGAAGCTGAATGCTGCTTTTCCTGGTTCGGATGCAGAACCAGAACCAGAACCAGAACCAGAACCTGAGACGTCTGAAGATTCAAGTAAAAGTCAAATTAAATGTAAAAAGAAACAAAAACAGCAAAGATTTTAAATATCAGAACTTTCTGTTTATCTGCTGACCTGGTTCAGCTAAAGTTGCTCTCCTCTGGTTGCTCCTGGTTCTGATGGTGCAGCTGTAGATCCGATCAGAACCGTCTGGATCAATCAGAGAGCTGCTGATGTCATAAAGCTTCTCCTCAGTCTGATGGACTGTGGTTCTGTTCTGCAGAGTCGTGTTGGATGGAGGCTCAGTGGACCAGGTGAGTTCAGGTTGAGGGTAGATCCCCTCTGAGCTGCAGGTGGTTCTGTTTCCATCCTGATGGATTCTGATGTCAGAACCTGGAGCTGCAGCAGAAACATGAAATAAATGAACAATTTGTCAGAAGAACAAAATATAAATGTAACTTTTATAATCTTATTTCTATAAAGTTTTTATTTTAAATAAAGTGACCTACCTTCTACTGCAAGGAAAACAAAATGTTTATGATAGAAGCCATTAATCACTGCAGTGCACACATATCCTCCCTCATCATCAACCTTCACTCCTCTCAGCAGCAGGTCGCCGTTTCCTCTGGAGATCTGATCCTCAAACAGAGACGCTCTGGATCTGAAGCTCTCAGAGTAACTGGAGCCACGATGGTCATAGGAGACAATCAGAGAGGTTCCATGTTTCCATTCCATCTTGTTGACCCCGTTCTTGACCCGACATGGTAAAATGCAGTCCTGGTTGATAACACAGGACATTCTGGTTCCAATCCCTGCAATAAATAAATAAAAGCAGAAGAAAGTTGAGTGTAAAGGTGTTGAGGAGGAAACCCAGATCCCTCTGAAGGATCATAGAAAACCTGCCTGGAAACAAGATCTCAGCAAATAGTCTCCATGATCCAGATGATGTTCACTGAACCAAAAGTTCTGGTTCTGATAGGAAACAGGGAGGAATCGCTCTGATGCAGAACCTTTGAGCAGCTTTTTGTTTGCTGGTATTTTGATTATTTATCTTTATTGATGAGATTCAAACTTTTATACCTTTTTCTGTAAATCTATGATGAAACAAATTATTGCTTAACAGTTAAAACTCTGAACTAAATGTAAATCCTGAACCTGAGTTTTGTTCATTCAATTCGTTCCTAATATCTATAACTGATCTATAATCAGAATAATTATTATTCTAGAGCTTCATTTGCCTCAGAGTCTGCAGTGAAGCAACTTTTGATTGACTTTATATTTTACTAATATGTTTTCAGGTTTGGGGCTGCACAGTGGCCCTGCAGCAAGAAGGTCCTGGGTTCGATTCCCGGCCCGGGTCTTTCTGCACAGAGTTTGCATGTTCTCCCTGTGCATGCGTGGGTTCTCTCTGACTTCCTCCCCAGTCCAAAAACATGAATGTCGGGTTTATTGGTCTTTCCAAATTCTCCCAAGTTGTGAGTGTGTGTGTGCATGGTTGTTTGTCCTGTTTGTCTCTGTGTTGCCCTGCGACAGACTGGAGACCTGTCCAGGGTGACTCTTGCCTGCTGGTTCTGATGGTGCAGCTGTAGATCCGATCAGAACCGTCTGGACCCGTCAGAGAGCTGCTGATGTCATAAAGCTTCTCCTCAGTCTGATGGACTGTGGTTCTGTTCTGCAGAGCCGTGTTGGATGGAGGCTCAGTGGACCAGGTGAGTTCAGGTTGAGGGTAGATGCCCTCTGAGCTGCAGGTGGTTCTGTTTCCATCCTGATGGATTCTGATGTCAGAACCTGAAGCTGCAGCAGAAACATGCAGCACCACCCGACCCCGTTGGGGAGAAAGGTGACCAGAAAATGGATGGATGGTTTTCCGTTTTCATTTATTTAAATCATTTTAATTTGTGCTGCCTGTTGCTTTACTGATTCGTTTCTGTAGCGTTTATTTGTGTGAGGCTGGAAGCGCCCCCTGGTGGCTCCGCTGGTTCCCCATCAGCTGCCAACATTTTTATGAATAAATGTTAATAATTATAAACTTTAAGCATCTGGTTTCTGATGCTCAACCTGGAGATTGTTTCCATTTTATTCCTAGTTTAACTGTGTGGATAATAATAATAATAATAATAATAATAATAATAATAATAATAATAATAATAATAATAATAATAATAATAATAATAATAATAATAATAATAATAATAATAATAATGATAATAATAATAATAATAATAATAATAATAATAATAATAATAATAATAATGATAATAATAATAATAATAGCACAGCTAGCATGTAGCATTTTCTTTCTTTATTTCTGCATCTTCATAGGAATAAAACTTTTAAACCTGCTTTGATCTTTTCCATTATTCTTGACAAACGTTTCGACAAAGTCATCCTTAAAGTGACCAGATCATTGTCCAGAATGTCAAAGTGTTTTTCCTCACAATACGTTTCACTGTTTACCATCAGTTATAATGTTGGAACAAATACTTTTCATTTACAGGTGGATGCATTTTAAATTAGGCTTCCTCTCATTTTGTCCTGCTGATGGTAAAATGGGGTTTAGAAAGGCATTAAAATAAAATCCCTCTGAATGTGAATCAAACCTCATGAAACCTCTGGATGTTTCATGAGGTTTCAAGAAAAAGTCAAATCAAATGTAAGGAAACTAAAATACCAGCTTATTAAATGATATCAAAACTTTCTGTACATCTGCTGACCTGGCTCATTTAGTGCTGCTATCCTCCAGCTCTTCCTGGTTCTGATGGTGCAGGAGTAAAACAGACCTACATCTTCATCTGTAACCGTCAGAGAGCTGCTGATGTCATAAAGCTTCTCCTCAGTCTGATGGATTGTGGTTCTGTTCTGCAGAGTCATGATGGACCAGGTGAGTTCAGGTTGAGGGTAGATTCCCTCTGAGCTGCAGGTGATTCTGTTTCCTTCATGATAGATTCTGACTGAAGAGACTGGAGCTGAAAATAAGAGAATAAAAAATGAACAATTTCACATCAGAAACATCCACAACAACAAAATACAAACCATCCAAATCTTCTTTGAATGAAAGGTTTTCAAATGAAGATGTCCTACCTTCTATCTCAAGGACAACAGAACGTCTATAATAGATGCCAGTTGTAAAAACATGACACTCATATGTTCCCTCATCATCAACCTTCACTCCTCTCAGCAGCAGGTCGCCGTTTCCTCTGGAGATCTGATCCTCAAACAGAGACGCTCTGGATCTGAAGCTCTCAGAGGTTCTGATGTTACCCTGGTCATAACTTACAATCCCTGATTTTGGTATTTCACGCTCCCATGTCATGTTGGCAACCCGATTCCTGAACCGACATGGTAAAATGCAGTCCTGGTTGATAACACAGGACATGCTGGTTCCAGACTCTGCAACAATAAAAGCAGAAGAAAGTTGAGTGTAAAGGTGTTGAGGAGGAAACCCAGATCCCTCTGAAGGATCATAGAAAACCTGCCTGGAAACAAGATCTCAGCAAATAGTCTCCATGATCCAGATGATGTTCACTGAACCAAAAGTTCTGGTTCTGATAGGAAACATGGAGGCATTGTGTAGCAATGTGGCCATTTTCAGTTATTTCCCTGGTTTCTACATTTGCTGATATATTTATTTTGGGTTTATGTTGAGTTGCATGTGTGCTGATTCCTTTTGCGGCTGCTGTCTCTGGAGACGTCCACTTCACTTCACACAGCTGTTGCCCCTCAGCTGCAATGGGGGCAACCCAGAAATGGGGCAATAAAAGGAGCAGCTGAGCGAGAGGCCGGGTAGAATGAGAGACGCAGCAGCAGCTTACAGAGCAGCAGGTCTGGCAGAACGCAAAGCAGGGAGAGAAACACGCATCCGATCCGAGGGACGTGGAGCCGGAACCAGTGGATCACAAACAGCTGGATCCAGAAACCTCTGGATGTTTCATTTTCTAATCTGCATCACAGTAATACTGTAGTGCTTACAGTATTACTGTAGTGCTTACAGTAATACTGTAATGCTTACAGTAATACTGTAAACATTACAGTAATACTGTAATGCTTACAGTAAAGTCAAATTAAATGTAAACAAAAAACTGTTTATTAAATGATATCAGAACTTTCTGTCCATCTGCTGACCTGCTCTGGTTAAACTTGTTTTCCACCAGTTCCTCCTGGTTCTGATGGTGCAGCTGAAGATCCGATCAGAACCGTCTGGACCCGTCAGAGAGCTGCTGATGTCATAAAGCTTCTCCTCAGTCTGATGGACTGTGGTTCTGTTCTGCAGAGCCGTGTTGGATGGAGGCTCAGTGGACCAGGTGAGTTCAGGTTGAGGGTAGATCCCCTCTGAGCTGCAGGTGGTTCTGTTTCCATCCTGATGGATTCTGATGTCAGAACCTGGAGCTGCAAACATGAGAAAATAAAGAACTATTAAGCAGATAAATGTCCTGGAACCAAAACATAAAAACTCAAAATATGAATCAATAAAATGTTTTCAGGTTAAAGTGTTTTACCTTCTATGGTAAAGTCAACAGAATTTCTATAATAGATGTCATTAATCACTGCATTGCACACATATTCTCCCTCATCATTAACCTTCACTCCTCTCAGCAGCAGGTCGCCGTTTCCTCTGGAGATCTGATCCTCAAACAGAGACGCTCTGGATCTGAAGCTCTCAGAGGTTCTGGAGCCACGATGGTCATAGGAGACAATCAGAGATGATGTTTCATATAGAGACCATTCCATGTTGTTGACCCCGTTCTCAAACCGACATGGTAAAATACAGTCCTGGATGATAACACAGGACATGCTGGTTCCAGACTCTGCAACAATAAAAGCAGAAGAAAGTTGAGTGTAAAGGTGTTGAGGAGGAAACCCAGATCCCTCTGAAGGATCATAGAAAACCTGCCTGGAAACAAGATCTCAGCAAATAGTCTCCATGATCCAGATGATGTTCACTGAACCAAAAGTTCTGGTTCTGATAGGAAACATGGAGGAATCCCTCTGATGCAGCAGGAGAATCATTAAAAATATTCCTGGTTTATTTATGTTTCTGCTTAATAATAACATGTTAAAATACTTTATAACATTTCCAATGATTAATAAAAACATATTTCTTGACATTCCATCAATAAATCTGTTATCATTGATCAGCTTTCTGTTTGCTTCTATTGATTATTTATCTTTAATAAAATCCAAACCTTAGAGGCTCTTTGCTCTTACGGCCACAAAGGGCTCAACATATATGAGAAATATTTAATATATTTAAGGCAAAATGAGGATTAAAAACATCATTTTATGTCAAAACTCTCTTGACTGATTCTTTTGTTTCAGCTTCTTTTGATGTTCTGTGGAGGAACAGAGAGAATTAAATCCTCAGTTCCTCAAAGAAAATCCCAAAGTATGAACAGAAAGTTGGACCCGGTGAGCCGACCAAAAAGAACAAACGGTCCAGCAGGGGGCCGACCCGATGCAGGCCGTGGAAGCCCTGCTGCACCCGGAATAAGGATCCACTGCAAAGAAAAGTATTGAAAACAGGACAATCGGTCCCACCAGGCCAAAATCACACGGACAAAAAACAGCAAAACAAACAAAGAGCTGATAAAAACAAGCGCATGTCAGGCTGGAGACGTGGCATCCATCAGAACGGGGCTGTTTGTGGTGCTGGGACTTTACCTGGTCCAACCTATTCACAGGCTGACCAACAGCCACCGATTACAAGACCAGATTACAAAAGAGGAATTATCCAAACTCCAAAGTTTATTAAACAGAAAGTCATTCAACTAAAGTCAATACAAAACAATCCAGAAAAAATAACAATAATTATAATGTGCCTGAGGGACATAACATCTGCCATCACCCTAATCTTTAGCTCCTTCCTTCATTTATCAGCTTCAGGTTTGGACTATTGCTGCTCTGCTATAAAATATAAATATTACTGTGAGATAGAAAAAACCTGTTTGCAGAAATAAAAATATTAGTTTTTAACCTGAAACTCCTGTTAGTAATTCTGGATTCATCTGTGAAATAATAAATAACATTTATTCAATACGGCAAAGAAAAACATTCAAATGTTTTGTTTTTTAATTTTCTAAATGTTCTCACAAACATCAAATCTGAATTGTGAGATTATTAGTCAGAGGGAGACATGTTGGTGAGTAAATGATCAGAAAAATATGAGACAGAAATAACAGAGTTACTGAATCATGTTTCAATATTTATTATTAATATTTTCACTGCATTTCCTGTTTCATCCTCACTTTGAAAGCAATAATCTGTTCAAATCTGAATGATAATAAAATAAAGGAAGTAATAAATGTTTTACTTACCCATTATAATACCAGCCCACACAAACGGTAAAAATATTAAAAACAAGAATCTCCTGGTTCTGATCATTTTACTCCTAATTTTCACCATTTGCTGCAAAACTATGAAGAAGCAAATTATTGTTGAAACACTGAACTATATAGATCCTGCAGCTCAGTCTGATTAAAATGTTAATAATTCTTAGAAAATGTCTGTAATCCAGATTAACTCTGATGACATGCAGCTTCATTTATCTCAGAGTTTCTTCTGGTTGGAAGGAGGAAGTTTGTTCTGCTAAATGTTCTGATCAGCTTTCATGATAAAACTCTGGAGGAGGAAACATAGATTTAGATTAATTAGAGATGATGATGAGTTTTCAACTGTCAGATTAATTCAGTAAATATTAATGAATAATCTGCATTATTTATCCTTCTGCCTGACTTAATCCACTGATATTGATAAATAATCACTCTGATTTTATCTATTAACTCCAAATTAAAACAAAATGAAGAGTTAATATTTTTCTCTATTACTCTTATAAATAAAACTCAGGAACATTAATTTGCTAATCCCACAAATTTACCATAAAATATATTTGAAAACTAGGAAACATTGTTCAGTTTCCTGCAGGGTCTGTAATTAGTTTATCAAATTTTAATTGAAAACCAGATATTGACAACATTTTCCATTCAAAAATCCGTTTTTCCTGCTAAATCCTGAATAAACATTAGAACTCAAAAATAAAATATTTATAGTTTTTAATCTGTTTTCAGGTTTTAACCAACAGATCAGATCAAAGTTTTATTCCATCCATTCATCTTTCCAGATTTCAGGAACTTTTTTAGAAATGTGGACTGTGGATGCTAACATTAGCATTAGCTGCTACAGTTTTAGCATTGAGATGATTGGCTAACTCCTTTTAGCACAACTTGAACACAATGAGAGTTTTTCCAACCACCAATCAGATCATTTCAGGAGCAGACATGAACCCAGTGGACCGAGAGAAGAGCCGCTGTCCTCCATCGCTGTTAGCACTGGAGGCTTGTGCGTCACATTTACGGCCGTACCAGAAACCAGGAACACAAAGCAAAGTTCCTGAATAAACAAAATGCAGCTCATAGTTATTAGAGGAAAATATGAAACGTTCATAAGCACAGAGATCACATGTTGTGTTTTTAGCTCATTCTGATTCTCAGAATAGTCAGATTGTATTATCTCTCTGATTTGAACAGTAATCCTAACCCTAACCCTAATCCTAATCCTAACCCTAATCCTAATCCTAACCCTAATCCTAAACTGATTTTATAATTATTTTAGAATAACTGCAACTTTATCTATTTATGTCATTTAAAAACTGGTGTGTAATTTATAACCTGCACTTCAAAACAAGCTGAAAGTGACTCAGAGAGTTTGACATTTCCTGAAACTAACATGTTAAAACATCTCTAGATGTAATAAATGAGCAGCGCCTGATCCTGATCCACACAATGACACTTTAACAGACAAACTGTGTTATGTGCTAAATGTTAGCAAGCCAGAAAAATATCACATCTCAGCCACTTTTCCTCCAGACAAAAACATGGAGGCTTTGTTTGTTCTCCACTTTTCCACGTCTGATTCCTCTTCTCTGCTGTTTATTGGCAGCTGGCAAACAAAGTGGTGAGTTAAAGATTATTGAGACGTTTCTGAATATGTGGTGGATAAATATTTATTTATTATTACAGCAGTTTACACCTTTCTATAGTCGGTAAGCAGCTCTATCTTTGCATGTTTTCTCTTGTTGAAGATAAATTTGAACAACCTGCAGCTGCAGCTCTGACTTCCTCCTGAAACCTCAAAGTTTTACAGATTCTGATCAGAGGAGTTTGGACCGCCTCTAAGGACGCTGGTTCTGCTGATAATGGATCAACGTCCATCCATCCATTTTCTAACACCTTGTCCCTGGTGGGTCAGGAGGTGCTGGTGCCTCTGCAGCTACGTTCTGGGCAAGAGGCGGGATCACCTGGACAGGTCACTAGTCTGAGCACACACACACACACACACACACACACACACACACCACACACACACCCCCACACACACACACACACACACACACACACACAACTTAACTTAGAGAGACCACTTAACCTGACAGTCTTGTTTTTGGACAGTGGGAGGAAGAACCACCAAGCACAGGGAGAACATGCAGACTCTGTGCAGAAGGACCCGGGCCGGGAATCAAACCAAAACCTTCTTGCTGCAAGGCGACAGAGCTACCAACTGCATCGCTGTGCAGCCATCAATGTCCTAACCCACATTCAACAGATTAAAGGGAGCTTTTAGCTTCATGTGAATTTGGTTGATATCTTAGAATGTAAAACTTTCTGGTAAAAGAAATAAAGTTTCTGTTTCCTGACATTTTGTTGGTTCATGTTTTCAGCAGCAGATAAAATCTGACATGAAGTTCTGTGTGTTTCTGACCGATCTGTGGGATCCGTCTGATGGAGCTGATAAAAACTCCATCAGACGGATTCTGTTTCTTTTCTCAGAGTTTATTTCTATCTGTTGTTTTCATCAGTTTATAATGTTTTAGTCACACTTTAAAGAAAATGTTGTTGAAAAGTTTTTCCCTCATGTATTTGTTACATTTTGTTTTAGTTTCATCCAAGAAGTTTGATGTTAAGTTACAAACCAAATCTTGCTGCATTTTGCAGGATTTCATGTTTTTACAGGATGAATTTTATTTACTGGATCTCAGTAAAACACAAATATTTAACTTGATCAGCAACACATAAAATAAAAATGTTGTGAAGATTTAAAAAAGATAGAAATGTCTTTCACCTGATGCTGCCTGGTTGAAGATGGAGAGCTGCATGTTACCGTGTCAGTTCCTGATTTTAATCTTTTGTTTAAACGCAAACGAAACTGAATAACATCTGTCCTCAGGCAATAACACACACACAAAAATAACTAAAAATAAAAAAGATGTGAAAAGGTGAATCATAAATTCCTTGGTTTTTGTCACATGAAGATGTACCTGCAGTGGTTTCAGTCGTGTGAGAGCGTCTTTCTAAATAGAAATCATCTCCATTCTGTAAATG